ACATTGAGAAGAATAGGAATTCCAGAACACTTGATTGTACTCATGAGGAACCTGTACGTAGACCAGGAGTCTGTCTTTCGAACAGAACAAGGGGATACTCCATGGTTTAAAATCAGTAGGGGAGTGTGTCAGTGTTATATTCTTTCACTATTCTTGTTGAATCTGTATGCTGAGCAAATAATCTGAGAAGCTGGACTATATTAAGAAGAACATGGCATCAGGATTGGAGGAATTCTCATTAACAACCTGCTGTACGCTGATGGCACAACTTTGCTTGCTGAAAGTGAGGATGCCTTGAAGTACTTACTGATGAAGATTGAAGAATATAGTCGGCAGTATGGATTACACTTCACTGTAGAGAAAAGAAAAATCCTCACAACTGGATCAATAAGCAGCATCACGATAAATGGAGAAAAGATTGAAGTTGTCAAAGACTTCACATTACTTACTTGGTTCTGCAGTCAACACCAATGGAAACAGCAGTCAAGACATCAGACAACATATTGCATCGGGCAGATTGGCTGCAAAAGACCTCTTTCCAGTGATGAAGAGCAAAGATGTCTCCTTGAAGACTAAGATGTACCTAACCCAAGCCATGGTATTTTCAATCGCCTCATATGCATATGAGAGCTGGGCAATGAATAAGGAAGACTGACGAAAGGTTGATGCTCTCGAGTTGTGGTGTTGGTGAAGTATACTGAAAGTACCATGGACTTCTAAAAGAACTAACAGATCTGTCCTGGAGGAAGTGCAGCTGGAGTGTTCCTTGGAAGTGAGAATGGCCAGACTTCATTTCACCTACTTTGGTCATGTTGTCAGAAGGGACCATTCTCTGGAGAAGGATATCATACTTGGTAAAGTGGACAGTCAATGAAAAAGTAGAAGGCCATCTACAAGATGGACTGAAACAGTGGCTGAAATGATGGGCTCAGGTATAGCAAGTATCGAGAGGCTGGCACAGGACAGGGCAGGGTTTCATTCTGTTGTACATAAGCTCACTATGAGGCGGAAACTATTCAATAGCACCTAACAACAACAAGTCTTTTATTTAAAGAGAGTAGGCTTTTCTTGGAGATTTGTCTACTCCCATTGACATTTCCAGGATGCCACCATTTTGAGGTGTATGCAGCAAAAGAAAACCCTATAGCAATATCCATATATATGAGAGTGCTAGGTGGCACAGTGCCTAAAGCATTTGACTGCTAACCAGAAGGCTGGCAGTTCAAATCCACCAGCTGCTCCTCGGAAGGAAGACTGGACAATCTACTTCTGTAGTAATACAGCCTTAGAAACCCAAGGAGGGGTCACTCTGAGTCAAACCCAACTCAACAGCAGTGAGGATTTTGTTGTTGTTGTTGTTGTTGTTGTTTATAATAGATCTAACAGGGGCAAAGCAATGATAACTCCTCCGCCACAGTCAATCACCCTCAGGGACTGAGTTGTTCCCATGGGCTTGGGACCATGGTTGTGGGGTACATCAAGCTCAATTGGCATAATATATGACACAAAAACATTGATCTACATCCTACTTTGGTTAATAGGAACTAGGTCTTAAAACCTTGCAAGCAGCCATCTAAGATACAACAATTAGTCTTCCCTCATCCAGGGCAAAGAAGAATGAAGAAAACCAAAGACTCATGGGAACATGGTGCCCGCTACCACTGTCAACCATTCGGAAAAGGGTCCATCTAGGAGATCCTGGCTAGAGTGGGAGGAAACTGTGGAACCTAGCTCAAAGTCATTACAAAATTAAAATTAAAATTAAAAAAAGGACCAGGCTTACTGGTTTGATAGAGACTGGTGAAACTCCAGAGACTGTGGACCCTAGTCATCCTTCTGGGATGGAATTGAACTCACTTCCATGGCTTCCCGACTAACAACAGACAGGCATTTAAGGTGAACTTTTACACCAGGTAAGTACACTCTTTAGAACAGGGAAATCAGAAGGGCAGTATGTGCACACAGAGCTCAGAGGACAGCAGTGTGTAGGAAAGAAGGACACAGAGCAGAGTCAAGGTAAAAACAGGAAGAAGGGGGTAGATAGTTGTTACATTATGCGGATTGCATCAGTGTCATGAAAGAAAATGTGTACAAACTGACTAAAGAAAAATGAATTTGCTCTGTAAACTTTAACCCAAATCACAATTTAAGAATAAAAGAAAAGAAAAGGAAAATCCACGAAACTCACTGTTGTTATTCTAAAATCCTGAGGTACGTAACTGATTTGCCTTCCCTCCACTTCTCATAGTCTTTTTATGTTTGCCTTATATATAGTGTCCAGGGTTTTTAGATGTACTTAGTGGGAAGAATGGGGATAAATCTTGTCTGGTAACAGAAAGTCTTCTTTCCCTTTTTAATTTCTTCTTTCTTTTGTGCCCTCCAATGGTTATATTGTAGTATTAAAATATATTTAAAGTGATCATTGACTAAGAATTTATATGTCTTCTCTTAAGTTAGTGTTAGTTCTATTATCTGTGATAGATCCCAAATTAATTTTTGTATAAGTGACTGACCATCAAGTTATTTATTTTCCTTAGCTCAGTGACCTCTAACAGAAAACAAGTTACCCTTACCCCTAGTTTTTCAGAATTAGATAGCAATGTCAGAATTTGCTTTCACTGTTTTGTGAATCAAAATCAACTCAGTAGTGGTAGCTTTTCTTTTTTAAGTCTTTCACAGAAGGAGTTTCCATACTGAAATGATTACGTGCTCGACTGCTAATCAAAGGGTCTACAGTTTAAGCCTACTAGCCACTTCACAGGAGAAAGATGTGGCAGTCTGCTTCCATTGAGATTTACAGCCTTAGAAACACTATGGGGCACTTCTACTCTGTCCTATAGGGTCATTATGAGTTAGAATCAACTTGATGATGACAGGTTTAGTTTCGGTCTTTCACAGATTAAAGACAGTAAAGAAATTAATTCAGTAACCTTGAAGCCTTTAAAACCTAGGTTTTAGTTAGAGTCTGTGTTCTTATGACTTCATCAGATCTCTTTAACATTTTATAAAGCATCTAATATTTTCTGAATCTATAAGAAATTATATGCATTTTTGTATAAAAATAGACTAAATTACCACTTACTCCCAATCTTCTCTCTCATAGACACACCAATCAAGCAAACCAAACTCACTGCCATTGAGTCAATTCCAAATCATAGTGACCCCCCATTGGGTTTCCAAGGCTGTAAATCTTTACAGAAGCAGACTGCTTCATCTTTCTTCTACAGAGCAGCTGGTGGGTTTGAACTACCGAACTTTTGGTTAGTGGCCAAATACCTTAACCACTACATCACCAGAGCTTCTTCCCCACACACACACATATCCTTTAATAGTGAATGAAGTAAAAAAAAAAGAAAACAGTGCTTTGGAGCTAGTATAATATATAAATAAATGTAGATTTACTGTATACATACCAGTCTATTTCCTCCCTCTTCTCCCAACCCTTTTTAAGAATTCCTTTTTAAACATTTTAATGTATTTGTAACTTTAGAGATATGGAAAATAATATTTCTTAAAAAAACAAAACTCACTGCCATCGAGTGGATCCCAACTCATAGCAACCCCTCCTTGGGTTTTCGAGGTGGTATCTCTACAGAAGTAGATTGCCCAGTCTGCCTTCTGAGGAGTAGCTGGTGGGTTTGAACTGCCAGCCTTCTGGTTAGCAGTCAAATGATGCCTTAAGCACTTTGCCACCAGGCTCCTGGAAAGAATATTGTGTATATCATATCCCTCAGTGACAGAACAAAATGATTTTAGTGTTCCTGTCTCCCTGTATCCCTTTGCCAGTGATAAAGACTGGATTAATGAAGTATTCCAAATTAATTTTTTAAATATCTGTGATATCTAGGCATAGTTGGGTGACTTAATAGGTAGACTGAACACATAGAAAAATGTGTTCCCCCAAATGAAGAAAGTTGAGACTCAATAATTTTTTTCAGATTTATGCCCTCAGAAAAATCTAGATATAAGCAATTTTATTTTAGCATATATATAGGTTATATGTTTTACAGGTTCAATTTCATAAATTATATATAGTGATGGGAGTAGCACCATAATGTATTTATTGCTTTAAAGCCTGATATGAACCTGTCTCTCAGGTTTGAGCATTATATAATTATGCTCTTTTTAATTATGGAAATTGCAAACATACAAAAACAGGAAAAGTTCTCCCTGTTTAGAGCAAAGAAGAATGAAGAAAATCAAAGGCACAGGAAACATTTAGTCCAGAGGACTAATGGAGCCTGTGAACCCCAGCCTCCACAACCCTGAGACCAGAAGTAGCTGGTGCCTGGCTACCACTGCTGACTGCTCTGAAACAGATTGCAGTAAGAGGTCCCAGATAGAGTGGGAGAAAATGTGGAACAAAACTCAAAATCATAAAAAAAAAAAAAAAAAAAAGACCAGGCTTACTGCTCTGATAAAGACTGGTGGAACCTCTTCTACAACCTTCAAGCTAGGAACTGAACTTAACCACACTAACGCAACTGGCAGCCAAATGATAGACAAGCCTCTAAGGTGAACAGTAATATCAGGATGGTATGTACTCATTAGAACAATCAATCATATGAGATCAAGAGGACAGCATTTGCCCAGGGATAGAGCTAGGAAGGTAGTAGGAGAGGAAAAGGAAAAATGAAAGGAGAGGTTAGGCACAGGGTAGAAGTGGGAAGAATGCTGTTACAGTGGGGGAACTACAGTAAATATCACAAAGCAGAATGTATATGGATTAGTTAATGGAAAACCAATTTGCTCTGTATCCTTTCACCCAAATCACAATAAAAGAAAATATATTTATAGAAAAATGTATAATGAATCCTCATGTGCTTATCACACAGCTTCAACAATTACTAACATTTTGTCAATCTTGGTTCATCAAACCATTTATCACTTTTTTCCTTTGCTGGAGTGTTTTAAAGTAAATCCCAGACATCATGTCATAATCATTTGATCATATATTTTGACAACCCCAACAGTTTATACTTGAAAAATCCAAAATTTACCTTATCTTGTTGTTGTTCAACCTCAGAAAATGTAGTGCTTTCATTTCCTGTATCCCAGCTGGTATAAATTTGAAGTCATTGTGATCCAGAAATAATTCTCTCAGAGAATGGTACGCCCCATAGAAAGAGACAGGGTCCACTCCATTATCCACAAGTTTGTTAAATGACAAATACAGGTATTCCAGTCCGGGCTTCATGTGAGCAAACACATAGCCAGGAATCCGTTCAATTTGATTCCCAATTAGCACTAGGTGCAGCAAAGATTTTGGTAGATAGGAGGGGACGTGATAGAGCTTGTTGTAAGAAAGATCAATCGACTCTAGATTTCTGCAACAAAGAAAAAAGTAAACAGTAGGGAACATCAGAGTAGTGACCATGAACTCTAAAATCTGACAGCAGTCTTGATGCCAGTCCATTTTCTCAAAAGCAGTCAGGTTGTAGTAATGATTTAAATACAAGCTTGGATATTTAACAAATTTGGGTTGTCAGGCTGCAAGACTCATGTTTTTACCAATGCACTATATTTCCTCTCCAGCTACTTTTAAGTTTTATTAGGAATAACAAAGTTCAGGAGAGAAAAACTCTGAAATCCCTGCGGGTTATGGTGAGGCCCAAAGACGTCCCAAAATATCTCTTCATATCAAATGTTTGAATCAAAAATGAAATTCGGGAGTCCCACCTGACCTTAATTCATCTATCTCTGAAATTATCTCTGGTTCAGGAAGAAAGGTTTTTTTTCTGTTTGTTTGTTTGTTATTTTGTATTTGTTTAGTTTTTGTCCAACGTTTGATTTAATGATCTGGCATACCTAGGACCTGGGATAAAACTGGAGGGTCTAGAAAACACTGCTAGTTGACCAGAAAGTCTGAGAAATGTGGAGAATAAACTTTCTTGTTTCAGGATCCTCACCCTGAGTCTCCTATGGCTTTTGCCCCATTCCCTGTATGCACAGGGGACTCAGTCACTGCCTTCCATTCCCCCACTCTCCTTGAACTCAATTGGCCCTAAGACCTCTTTCATTTTTACCTATCTTACTTCGAAAACCGAGTGCCTCAGGTTGTGTTACTGAAATGATGATACATCATTCACATGAATACACCTGTAGTTCCAGGCCCTCTATTAGGGGAAAGGGAGAGAGTTGCTACCAGAGCTCCAGTCAGACTTCACTGTGCTTGTCCTTTCCCTCTCCTAATGGTCTTGTCCCTTCCCTCTCCTAACATGCCTGGCTCTACGGCCTGGCCTCTTCCTTCATTGAGTGCTGCAACCTGGCATTATGAATTCCTAACAAAACAATGGAATCTGTTTTCTGCCTTCACTGTTGGAGTAAGCAGTCATCAATCTACTTTTTAAGATTTGAAATAAAGAAATGGATGCAGTGTAATGTAGGCTTGAGCTTTGAAGTTTAGAGAAATGGATGCAGTGTAATGTAGGCTTGAGCTTTGAAGTTTGATGCTTTCACCTAATGTTTAGGATGATGAACACATGGATAACAGCTTACTTACACACTGTGTGCAAGGGTTAGCTCATTTAAACTTCATGACCACCCTTTAAGGTAGACATAAACTACAGCAGCATGTTAGCACTGTAGTCTGATTTCTAGGGTTTTAATTAGATTAGACTTCCAGGGTTTCGATTGGGTAGGGTAGTGCCACACACTAGCAAAAGCCAGTAGTAATGATAGTGGTACTAGTAGTAGTAACCATAGTAATCCTAACACTAATAATATAATTAACAATTTAGAAGCTCCACGAAGTAGTTGATTAAATAAGTGGCAAAAAAAAAAAAAAAACACCCCAAACCCACTACTGTTGAGTTGATTCTGACTCATAGCAACTCCCCGTGGGTTTCTAAGGCTGTAAATCTATGGAAGTAGATTGCTTCATCTTTCTCCTATGGAGCAGCTGGTGAGTTTAAACTGCCAATTTTTTGGTTAGCAGCCACTACGGTTTATCCACTATGCCAACAGTTGTCGTTAACTGCTGTTGAGTCAGCTCTGACTCGTAGCGACCCTATGTACAACAGAACAAAACATTACGCGGTCGTTTTCCAGTAAAGTATCAGACAATGTTTTGCTAATATTCATAAGGTTTTCAGTGGCCAATTTTTTTTAGAAGTGGATGACCCCATCCTTCTTCCCAGTCTGTCTTAGTCTAGAAGCTCCACCATGGGTGATTTGCAGGTATTTGAAATACCAATGGCATAGCCTCCAGCCTCATAGCATCATGCAAGACACCACAGTACGACCAACTGACAGATGATGGGTGAACTATGTCACCAGAGCTCCTTTAAATAGGTCGGGGAGGTTAAATAAGAGAGGACTATCTCTCAGAGCCCCTCTGTGCATCACCGTCACCTCCTTCACTTGCCATTCTCAATTTGTAAGTTCTATTTAATGTGAGCAAAAGGAAGAATTAAGCTAACCAATCCAGTTATAGCATATACTTACTCATGATTTATCCACGCTAAAGGGGCAATCCTATTTTCTTCAATTTTATTATAACAAAGTACAATGACATTTATCATTTTGGTATGATTGAAACAAATTTCAGTTATTTCTTCAATTTGATTATTTTCCAAGTATAATTCCTATAATCAAGAGAAAAGACTATTATTTTTCTGCCTTTTGTGTTTGTTAAGAAATATATTTAATTTCACAGAGACTAAAATAAAATAAAATAATGTGACTATTCTCAGTATTATCTAAAGTTTCCTTTATAAATCTTTCAAGTGAATTAATGTTTTTTAAGATGTTACATTTTTTTATTAATACAGTAGATCTACTATTTGACATAATTATGGAGTTAACTAATTTTTATTTAATTTTGTATCCAAACAATCAAGATATAGTATACTACAATAAATGTATAAAGCTTTCTAGTTTACGAAACTTTTTCACATAAATTATCTCATGTGGACTTAAAACCCCTGGAAAGTTGGTAGAAAACTATTATCTCCATTTTACCAGTGGAGAAAGTCAGACTTGGAGAGAATATGTGATCTGCCTAATGTTACCTGATTAACAACCAAACCAAACCCACTGCTGTTAATTTGATTCCAACTCATAGTGACCCTATAGAGCAGAGTAAAATTGTTGCATAGGATTTCCAAGGCTGTAAATCATTATGGAAGCAGACTGCCACATCTTTCAAATTGCCAGCCTTTGCGTTAGCAACTGAATGCTTTAACCATTGTGTCACTAGGGATCCTTTACATGACTAGTACATGAGAGAAACTCATCCTAACTTGAGCCTGGCAACATACCATGCTGTATTTGTATATTTTTAGGCTGATTTTTTTTTCTTCTTTTTTTTGGCTCACTTATGGTATAATTAAGGAGCTCTGGTGGCTCAGTGGGTAAGGCAATTGGCTGGTTGGTTGGTAGTTCAAACCCATCAAATGCTTCATGAGAAAAATATGAGGCGGTCTACTTCCATGTAGATTTACAGCCTTGAAAACCCTATAGGGGCTGCCATGAGTCAAAATCAACTCAATGGCAGTGGGTATACTATAATTTGTTTAATTAAAATCTAATTAATTTCAATTAAGAATCTTAATTTAAACTCAATGTGAAGTTTGCTGGAATTATTAATAGCTTTCCAATAGCAAACTGCTTTCACATTAAATTTAGTTGGCATTAGCAGGAGTTTTTCACTAAAGGATTCAAGCTACAAAATTTTCCTTGTTCTCTTTTTGGAATTCTTAAGTAGAATTGGCATGTATATTTTGTATGATTTTCTATTCATATTATGGTGAGTTCCTCCATTTGTCACTTAATTTTGGTAGTTTTGGGAAATGAGTAAAGACTCAATGGCACATAACAACAACTACAAAGAAATTTTCAGTTATTTGCTTTTATTTTCATATATATTGAGGGGATTAAATGACATCAGTGGGTCCCAAACTTGATTGTGTATCAGAATCATCTACTTAGTTTAAATTTAAATTCCAACCTAAATGTACTTCCGTAAGAGACTAGTTAAACTGTGGTAAATTCATCCATGTATTGGAAACTCTGCAGCTATAGGAAAGAATGGGAAGGTATTTTATATATAGATGTGAGACCATCTTGAAGATATATAGTTAAAGGGTGAAGGCATGGAATAGTGATTTTTAAGAAGGATTTGTAATGTATACACTTGTATGTGTGGAACTTCCCAAGCTAGTAAGAGTGTATCTTTTGGAGAGAGAAGCCAAGGACAGGAAGTTCAAATGTGGAATAGAGAGGCATTGTTTTTGTATTATTCAAATTGTGTGCATGCATGTGTGCTTTACTGTATGCAAAAATAATTTATTTAAAATTTTAATTTTTAGAGAGTATATACATTTCTTGCTTGCCTCTCAAAGACTCTAATTTAGCATGTCTGGAGTAGGTGCAAGGATTCACATGTCTTAACTTATGTGATTCTGATGTAAAGCCAGATATTACAACCACTGATCTTTAATATTTTGATGAATTCCATCTTTTAATTTAGAAATGGGAAGAAGAGGGAGGTTGGCAACTATGGCAGTAGCATAAGATTACTTCATGTCTGGCTCACTGGGGCCATAGCCATGGGAAACTCCATCCTGATATCTGACTGAATGATCATATGGTGTGGCAGAAACTGAAGCAGATAAGGAAACTTAAATTCTATTGGGGTTCTTCAAGTATTTATAGACTCACTGGGCCTCAGTTTTCTAAATGTATAAAATGTGGAGTGTTGACACACATTAGCCAAGTACCATCAGGAACCCACCATTAGTTGATAAAGTCAGGTTTATTACTTGCTGCAGCAAAGGAAACCATACACCATGGGGACCAGTGGAGCAATTTCAAAGGCGTGAATCAAAAAGAGTTTAGGGCCATGGGATCTGGAATTAATCATGAGACTTGGTATTGGTCAAAATTTTGTAAGCTACTAGAATAGTTCTTGGTCTTCTCTCTGGAACACAGGAATTCATGCAGAGTTACTGTTAGATCTGTCTGTGGTTTTACCTTGGAACATATGGGCCTGGACAAACTGGCATTTGTTAAAAGTTTGAGTTTAGTCTTGATGATCGTCATGGTTTGGGTTTGGTACAGTTTATTAACTGTCTTGCAAATCAGGGAACTTTCTGCATATTGTTGTTTCTATTTCAATTTTCAGTTCCTCTTGCCCCTTCTCCCCAAGAGCTATCCAACCCAACTCACTGCCGTTGCATCGTATCTGACTCATAGCGACCCCTTCATGGGTTTCCGAGTCAGTATCTCTACAGAAGTTGTTGTTGTTGTTGTTATGTGTCATCGAGTCGAACCCGACCCATTTCCAATCTTCCTTCTGAGGAGTGGCTGGTAAGTTTGAACTGCCAGCCTTCTGGTTAGCAGTCAAATGCCTTAGGCACTGTGCTACCAGAGCTCCTCAAGAGCTATCAGCAGGACCATTTTTCACTTAATCAGGAGCTCTGGAAACCCAAGGAGGGGTTGCTATGAGTTGGAACTGACTCAACAGCAGTGAGTTTTTGAGTTATCAGTATTATAATGTTTATTAATGACTTTGTATTTTTTGAAGAGGAAACAATGCTTAGATTGTAGTGAATTCTGTATATCAGCACCCATACAACAGAGTTTAATATACATCACAGTAGTTTTCAAATATGTTATTTGTTAATTTTGTTGTAGTATACTGCATTTAAAATATAAGACATTTAAAACATAAGAAGAAAAATATTGATACCTCAATAGAAGCAGGAAGACTCTGTGGTATAATTCTAAATTTATTTTTTCCTAGACGTAGATACAATAGGTTCTTCAAAGGTTTGAAAGCTAAAGGATTGACATTTGTTTCACTGAGATTGTTTCCTTCCAATTCTAAGGTGACTAACTGACTTAAGTCTACAAAAATAAAATTATGAAATATTAGGAAAATTGAAAAACCATACAATCTCTATAACCTTTCCAAATGTCATGAAACTCAATTTATTTGGAGGGCAGATGTTGTAGCTTCTTGGTATCTCCTTGAAAAACGTTTGTTCTAGCACTCTGTATATCCTAAAGGCTCAATGAACTAGGGCTATGTGCATGATCCAGTGGAGTGGCAGGCTTATGAAGGAATAAGCATAGTGCTATGTGATAGAACAATATGTAAGGAGCAGAAGCAAGATAGAGAGGATAGTGGTGGCGATATCTTAATTCTTTTCATCAGAGGAAGTTAGGGGAGAGGCAGGAAAAAGGTCAAGAGTATCACTGCAGAGGCAGTGGGAGCTGAATTGGGACAAGTAGAAGGTTGTAAACAGTTATTCTAAACATTTGTACAGACACTATAGGTATGAAATGCCAGGATAATAGGAAATGAGTTGGGAGGTTAATAAAATGAGTGATTCCCTTTTCAAGGACATAGAAAGGAGCACTCTTTCCTTGCAAACCCCTAACCTCTGCATAAGGGAATTAGAACAATAAAGCAGAGCACTGGATTCCCATCGTAGTTATTCATTTATTGGCATAGAGTGCAGCCAAATAGAAGTTTGGAAAAGAAGATAATCAGAAATTCTCCATGCATTCAGCTGAGCTACGAAGAAAGGACTTTTATGCAAACATATTTTTAAAATTGTTTCTACTGGCCTCAGGAGTGGTATGACTCATATTAGTTGAAAGCTCTAAGGAGAATGGAGAGCTCAGCAGAGATGATATGCAGAGGCATCTAATTCAGATGTTTCAGACTGTGACTTTATATTTTGTTTGTGACCAAGATACCCAGGATGGGGTATTTATATTTAACTACAAGTCTCAGGCATTGCACTGTATGCTGTGTATATTACAGAAGCAAGAACAAAAGACAGTTCCATCATATAATAAATTCTGAAAGATTACGAAGAGGAGATAGCACTATAGATTTGAATATTTGGAGAAAAATTAATGGAAGTGGGACTGGAACTAGGCTCTAAAGGATAGGAAGATTTATATAGAAATGGAAGGAAAGTCCAGAATGAAACAACAAATTGAATACATGCAGCTTAAAAACCCACATAGATGTACTCAGAAGGAAGAGAAGGAACCAAACCTGGAGTGGATCTTGGGTGATTAGGGTGGAACTGAACTGTGAAGGCTGTTGTACCCTTGGCACCCTAATTGGGCTTTCATCTCCAGGAGCTAGCAGCCTCTGTAAGTTTGAGTAGGGGAATGACATGATCACAGCTAAAATTTTCAGAATATTAATCCTGTGTTCAAGTTCAGGAGTGATGGGCTAAGAAGCAGGAAGCAGGGAAGTCAGTTGGTAAACTGTGGTGAGTGTTTTTTTATTTATTATTCTCTTAAATTTCCAAAATAAAAGTATTGAGAATCTGCTGTACTTGTCTAGTATGTAAGGTGAGGTTTTAAAATGTTAATAGATGTTTTCCATTGATAATGGCAGAGGACTGATCATCATCACAAGACCTCACTGAACAAGAAGTGACACACAATATAGTTCATGTTATTGTATATTGTATATGTAGATGTATAAATAGGCAATATAAGGTAACAGAAAATAGTGTGGAGTGAGAAGAAGTTTCTTGTAGATGAGACATGAAGTAGGTGTTGAGAGAAGGATTCATTAGCAGGAAATAAGCAGGAAGTCATTCCATTTGTTGAGGCTGGGGAATGACATGAAGAAGTTAGTAGGTATTGATAGACATATACATGAACACTAATCATATATATATACAGATATGTGTCATTTAACATCCACAATATGTTCTGTGAAATAAGATGTTATGTGATTAGGATGTTGTGCCAACACTGTATTATATATAGTGGATATGTTTGTATATTATTCAGTACACACTTATCAAAGTAACTGCCTTGCAAGCTGCTCTAGCTCTCCATTAGTGCCTATTATCTCAGAGTTTGCAAACTTGCATTTCCATGCAGCTCTGAACATCTCCCCAGTGAGCCTGTCAGAATTGGAAGGCCCAAGGCATGAAGTAGAGCTGCCACAACCCAGCATCTCCCTGCAGGCACGGGTCTCCCTGCAGGCATGGGCCCAGGCTCACAGGACAGCTGGGCAGGGCATCTACCAGTGGCAGCTGCAGGAGCCACAGACTTACTGCCACTCTTGCCCTCTGGCACCTTTCCAAGCATGCCCCCACCCCAGGATGTATATACAGTGAGATATTGCCTAATTTGATGTTTTGCAGCACATACCTGTAACAACATAGGATCATTTGTAGAGAGGCCTCAATGATAATGCATTTTGATTTACAGTCATTAAGACAGGAAACACTTATGTTTGATTTTCTCCTGTTCTCCCTCACTTCTACCTTTATGCCTTGTGTGTGTTTGTGTGTGTGTATGACTTTTGAAAGTTTGCATAACAAATTGGTTTTCCATTCAGCAATCCACACATACTCTGTTTTCTGACATTCACTGCAATCCCCAAAAAGAGCGAGAATGGCAATATTAATTTCTGATAAAATAGACTTCAAGGCAAAAAACAGCAGAAGAGACAAGGAAGGACATTATGGAATGATTAAGGGGTCAGTGAAACAGGAGGACATAAATATAATAAATGTCTACACATGCAATGAAAGCACCCCAAAGTACCTAAACTTGAACAGAATTGAAAAGAGAAATAGACAACTCTACAATAATAGTACAAGACTTTAATATACCACTTTTGTTGAAGGACAGAACTAGAAAAAAACATAACAGATACAGAAGATCTAAACAACATAATCAACCAATTAGACCTCATAGATGTGTACAGAACACTCCACCCCAAAACAACACAATATACATTTTTTTTCCAATGCACGTGGAACTTTCTCCAGAATAAACCATATGTTATGCCACAAAGGAAGCCTCAATAAATTTAAAAATATTAAAATACTTCAAAGCATTTTCTCAGATTATAATGCTAAAAAATTAGAAATCAATAACAGAAAAGGGAAATCAAGGGGAAAAAAGAAAAGAAAAAAAACCCTCATATGTAGTAACTGAATAACATCTTGCTTAAAAGCTATTGGATAATAGAAGAAATAAAAATAAAAATAAATTCCTTAAACCAAATGAAAAAAACAAACTCACTGCTGTTGAGTCAGATCCAACTCATACAACCCCTCCTTGGGTTTTCTAGGCTGTATGTATCACTACAGAAGTAGATTGCCCAACCTTCCTTCCGAGGAGTGGTTGGTGGGTTTGAACCACCAGCCTTCTGGTTAGCAGTCAAGTGCCTTAGGCACTATGCCAGAGCGCTGGTGGTGTAGTGC